AGAGAGAGAGAGAGAGAGAGAGAGAGAGAGAGAGAGAGAGAGAGAGAGAGAGAATGGATCTGTTTGTAGAAAGAAAGAAGGGTGAGCTTAAAAAGAAAATAGGGTGAAATGGTGAATCACTGGAAAAACTACTAAACAGAGAAACCATCAGGCTTTGGTAGAGACAGGATTCAAATCTTTCCACAGATTTTGGGATCAGTTTGGGATTGTGGCTAAGTTCAAAATCAAAACCATTGTCACTGGCAGTATGGCACACCAGGCAAATGGCTGTCCCCAGAATCCCATGGATGAGTTGGAGAATAATGACAAGAAGTCCTTTTATCTGAAGGACTATTGCCTTGGTGAAGTCATGGTAGAAGCTCAGGGCACAGGCAAAGACGGTGAAAACGGAAACCTCCTGGGAGGGAGATATATTTCAAGAGCATTAGAGTCAGCACATGGCTCTATCACAGTTTGGCTCTCTGGAAGCCCTTGCTCCTGAAGAAGGCAAGAGTCTGGGTTCACTCATAGTGGGGCTTTTCTTCCACGCTTCTGAAAGTAATCTGTCCACATAGAGAGGGCGTGGCTCCTTTCCTTGGGGGTGGGGGGTCATACAGGGCCAGGTGTAGCAGGAGAAACGTTCTGGTCTCAGTGGAGGTAGGTGGGATGATTCCATCGGTACCAAGATCTGGAAGGAAGAAGGAAACAGGTCTATCATAAAGTAACTAATGTGCTTGGAAAAGATGGAAATGGGAGCGACCACTAACATATATAGGGGTTTTTCTGGGGTGAAATGAAAATGTTCTGGAACTAGGTAATGGTAATGGTTGAATGACCTTGGTAATACACAAAAAACCCCCACTGAATTATATACTTTCCAATATGTCTCATACCTCAAAGTAATTTTGTAAAGCTCCTAATAATATATTATTTGGTGTTCTCTCTCTCTCTCTCTCTCTCTCTCTCTCTATCTATCTATCTATCTATCTGGTACCAGGGGAATTCCAGCTTTGGGGACTACACCACAATTGGCCAGTAAAAGCTGACTGTCTTGTTGAACCACCTGGATTGGGACAAGCAGATGCATCTCTTCCTACAAGTTCAGGTCTGGAACCTAGAGCCCAACTTTCAAATCTGTTTTGTTCTTAACTAGGACACACTCTCAAGGCATGTGCTCTGAGAATCCTTTCTAGAGTAGATTCTTTGGCTCACGAACCAAAGCCCTGGAGGCTGCTGTCCCCACTGCTGCCCAGGCGGCAGTGGGAATAGGGGTTGGCATCACCTCCCTCCTTCCTGGTGTCATCCATGCCTAAAGCCCAGGGTGTTCTTTGTGCTTAAGCTGTTGGCTCGCGTCAGAACATCCTGAGAACTGGGTTCCTGACACGGACCAGCGTGCCCCTAAGCCCAGCAGAAGACCTGGCCCTTTCTGACAGGATGGCTTGGAAATTTCCATTGTCCAAGTGAGGATGGAAATTTTGGCTTTGTTGACATCAGCTCCTTCCTAGGACAGCCCCCTGGCTGCAGTTTAATTTTAAAATCCCTGCTCCCTAGGGATATGGTCCAGTCTAGTTGTCCACTCTGTCCTCTCCCTGCCAGCCCATTCCTCTGTTCCAGTCCTATGACAAGCTCTCTGTCCCAAGGCACTGGTCCAACTCCTCACATGCCCCTGGGCCTTGCCGGCTGCCTCTGCACTCTCCCCCTGGGTCTTACCCTGAGGAGTTAAAGCTGGAGGAGGAGTTCATGGCTGCTTTGGAGTTATTTTGAGACACAGTGGGACTGCTGGCGTGGAGTCCTGAGCCAGGAGACGAAGGCCTGCTGTTGTTCCCAGGGGAACAGGATGACGTTACTAAGGACAAGGAGAGGCAAAAATAGAGGGAAATGAATGCTGTTGGATCCTGGGACCTTGGAATATGGCCTTTTTAACACCTGACTTCCTGGTATATCCCCAAAGGGACTTCACCCTTCCCCTACCCATCTGCCCACTTCCTATCGCATTAGCATCAATGTCCACCCGCTGGCCTGACCTGTCCCCAGAGAGACTCTGATGGCAGATGCTCTCTGCAGCCCAGGCCCTCAAGAGCAGTGTGGCTGGTTCTGCAAGTTCAAGACTTGCCAAATGCAAGGAGGATAGATGCCAAAATCATCCTACTTCACGACACACCCTGGGCTGGGCATCTGTAGCCCTAGACCAAGAGGCGAGAGGGGAAAAAGAATAAGAAACATAGGAAAAGAAGAGAGGAGGAAAGAAAGAGAAGCATACAGGGAAAAAGAGAATCCAAGCACATAACTAATGACTCTAGTTTTTCCCTCTCCACCCAAGAAAAGGCATGTGATCTGCTTGAAAGAGTGCTAAACCAGGAGAAAGGGGACTTGAGTCTCATCTTGGTCCTGGGTCATTTACTAAGCAGTTCTGTGGCCTGTGCCAACCTGTTTCACTTCCATAAACTCTTTTTTGTCCTCTGTAAAATAGCAGATTTGGACTAAATGGAATTCTTGTGTTTGGGTTTCCCAAACTGTGTTTTATGCATAGGGTGACCTACATTTTACCATCAAACTAAGACACTTTTAAAAATGGAAGAGAGAGCTTGGTATGGTGGTATATACCTATAATCCCAGTGGCTTAGGAGATTGAGGCAGGAGAATCACAAATTCAAAGCCAGTCTTAGCAACTTAGTGAAGTCCTAAACAACTTAGCAAAACCCTGTCTCAAAATATAAGAAAAAATAAAATAGACTGGGGATGTAGCTATTAAGCACCACCGGGTTCAATCCCTGGTGCCAAAAGAAAAAAAAAATAATTATGATAATTATGGCAGGATATGAAGCAGCCCCTTTGGTTGTCCTGGGCATATTTGGACATATCACCAACATCTCTGGTTCTCTGAAATGCTACAGGTGGTATTTGAAAAATAGAATCCTGTTAAAAATTAGTTTGAGCCAGGTGTGGTGACACACACCTCTAACCCTAATGACTCGGGAGGCTGAGGCACGAGGATTGCAAGTTTGAGTCAGCCTCAGCAACTTAGCAAGGCCCTGTCTCAAAATAAAAAATAAAATTAGTAATGGAAAACCCTGCCTTCCTTCTGCCTTCTCTATAACTCATTTTGCAATGTAGTATGTGTTTGATTGCTGAGAAGTGCTGCCATTAAAACAAACACATTTGTCTAAACTTTTCTTACCCAGAACTTTCCAAATTTATTTGATCATGTAATCCTGTTCTCGGCATGGATTTTAATGTCCCTTGAAGTGCATTTATGGGATGCTAGTTCTCCTTTAGATAACACGAGATTAGAACTAAAAGAAATCCTTTCTGGTTCTAATATCCTGTTATCTAAAGGAATTATGGAGCTATCTAGAAACATTATTTTTAAGCTCACCTGTTCCAGGCATAGTGCTGTGGACAGGAGGGACAGTGAGGGGGCCCAAAGTCCCTGAGGGAGAGACCTGAAAGGCAAGAGAGGCTGTAAGTATCCACTCCCACTCCCTTTTCCAACCTTGGGTCCTACTCCCAACATGCTGGGTTCCAGACTGCAGAGACCAGGGCTTGACTTCATTGATTTCCTATTCCCCAAACCTACACCCCATTCTTCTTATAAGAAGGCCTATGGACCACGTACTGCCCAATCCAGCTCTAGCCCTGGTCTGTCCTGGAAGCTCCCTGGTCCTGACACCCTGCCTTCCCCCACACTGCTGTGCCTCAGCAAGGTTTCTTTGACACTGCCAGGCTGAAGGTGCCTTGCCTGAGTGTCCTGGTGGTGAAATGAGCAAGCCTCAGGGCTATGCTTAGGCAGATGCTGCCAGCTGCTGCCTCATTTCCAGTTCCCACTTCTCCCTTCCTGAGAAAACCCTGCCTGAGTTCAGGGCAGTGGAGTGCAGCCCTAGCAACCCTGCTTCTGGCCAACCCCCCCCCCCCATGGGTGAATGCACCACAGATTCTCCAGAAACAACCGGAGGAATTGAATGTTGATATCTGCAGCTTTTTATTTTGCCCTGGAGACCCTGTAGCATCATCAAGTCTGAGATCAGAAAGGGATTTAAGATAACTGAGTTTGAGCTCCCCCTCACTGTCACTACCCTAGAACAAGATATAACAGAATGGATGGATCTGGGCGGAAGACCTGGCCCCTCATCCATCATCTGCATGAGTCCAGGCAAGTTATTCAACCCCACAGAGATTCAGTTTTCTCATCTGTAAAGTAGCAGGAACATCTCCCTGATATTTTCTTTTAATTAAGATTTAATGAGATAATGTCCATAAAGCTTCCAACCCAATGGCTGGCAAAGAGGGCCAGCTTGTAAAGGTTAGTTTCCTTCCTTCCTAAAGGAAAATGCTCTCTACCGATGCACACCTCTAGATGGTTTTCAACTGTCTTCTGAGCTGAACTCTGCATGCTTTCACTCTCCGCTCCTTCTCAAGCTGACGCGGGAGCTCTAACCAGAGTTTTCAACGGATATTGACAGACAGTTCTGCCAGGGGCCTGTGATGTGATACTCCTCCCCTCCCAGGTTTGGAACAGCCTGTCCTAACAGGATGCAGCATGTTCTCATTTCCTAATTAATCAGCAATGGTTCTCACCTCTTGCATTTACCTTTCCTTTTACAATGAGCCTCCTCAGTAGTCTGGGGATCTGAGGAGGGTGGAGACAGGCTGGGGCACAGTTTGGGAGGGGTGGCTGAGTGCTGAGAGATATAATCAGTAATCTCCCTCCTTGCTGCCACACCTGAGAAATTTGTTGTTGTTGTTTTCAAACAAATAATAATGTTTTTAGTCACTGTGATCCGCTCCCAGCTCCTGTCTCCTTCTGAAGCCAGGCTGTGCATCTGCAAACATACAGACATATATATGTTGCCCGCCCCTTTTTCTGTACTGGGGATTGAACCCAGGGTCTCATGTACACATGTACCTTACCCCTGAGATATATCCTGGCCCTTTTATTTTGAAACAGGGCCTCACTACGTTGCCTAGGCTGACCTTGAACTTGCAGTCCTCCTACCTCAGTCTCCTGAGTAGCTGGGGTGGTAGTGTATAGCAATGCACCTGGCTCCTTTTTTATTGTTTATAAATATGGTAACCAAAATTATGCCCACACTGGTGTGCACCATTTTGTCTTTTTCCTTTTTCTAAATTAACTATATATTTTGGAGATCATTTCACATCAGAAGCAGAAGAAATCATGTCCTTGTCTTGTGGAGACAGGGGAAAAAGAGAAGGACATCACGTGTACGTGTGTTATCATGTGTGTGTGACCTGTGGCTGCAGGCCTCGTGAGGGCAGGGCAATGCCTGTGCAGTTCTCTGCTGTATCACTAGTGCCTTCACCCAGGCCTGGGAGTTGCAGATCCTCAAAAAAATGTGATCAGGGAATGACAATAACAAATGAAGCTCACTCACCCTTCCTCCCATGTTGGTGTCCTGGGTGGAAGTGAACCACTGTGAGACCTGCCTCCTACATTTTCTAACCAAAGCCCCACCTTCAAAGGTCCCAAAGCTCTTATGGCATGGACCAAGATCCTTAACATGGCCTCCAATGCCCTACAAATGCCCACTCCTGCCTCCCACTCCAGCCTCCTCATTCACAGTGTTTTGCTCCTGGGCTTCCCCCATTCCAATCTTTATGATTCCTCTTCTCCCCATCCCTGCCAGACTCAGGGCCTTTGCATATACTCTCTCCTCTGCCTAAAAGGTTCTTTCCTATGGTTGCTCCTGCCTAAACCCCCCAACTCAGACATTTTTCCCCATTCATATCAATAGTGCCATTCTTTTTTATGAGGTCGGTTTAAACATCATTTCTCAGGGAAGCCTTTGACACCCTGGACGAGGTGAGTCCTTAAACACCTGCACATCCTCTTTGACACCCATCACAACAGCATTTATTCAGTGTGTTTTCTGTAAGCAGGAATCACATGTATGTTGTACACCATGGTATCCCTAGTACCAAGCATGCAGTGAATACTTGAAGAAGCAATGATGAATGGCTACCATGTTATTTCCAACTTAAAATATTCAGCGGTTCCTTGTGGCTTTCAGGGTAACGCAGAATCCATGACACATCATTTTCCAGCCCTCACCAACCTTTCTAATTTTTAATCGCAAACCCTTGGCTGGAGCCAGACTGAAATATGTGTGATTCCCCAAAGGCGTCATGCTGTTTTATAACTGCAGGGCTTCTCGCAAGCTGCTCCTTCCTCTTGTATGCAGTTTTTGCTAATTCCTAATCTCTTCTTCAAACATGAGGGGATCTACTCTCCAGGACACCATTCTGATTTAAGTGACTTTCACATGTGTTCCTGTGACTCGCCTACAGGCTCGCCCCTGTTCACACCTCTCACACCACCTGCTTGCAATTTCTTGGACTTTTCTGGCTCTTCCTTCTCAATTTCTGTCCCTGGTCCTCCTTCTCTGCTGGGGGTATGCGGGGTTGGGGTACGCGGGGTTGGGGTGTGGACCTTCCTCTTTACTCCCTCCATACAAGCTTCACAGGGAAACATCTTCTCTCCCAGGATTTCAAGCTTGGCCTGTGTGCTTGTGACTGCCCTGTCCAGGTCTCCATCCCGGCTTCTCTTCTGACCTCCAGACCCATCATTCCAGTGCCCAGGGACATTCTTGCTTAGATGTACAAAGCAAAACCATCACTTTTCCCCACTCCCAAACCAGCTCCTCTCCACTGTCCAGTTTCCCATAGGGCGCTGCTATCTACCCCTGCCCCAGCCCAGCCTGAATGCTCAGAATCTCCTCAAAAGTTTCTCTGTCCTTCCTCACCCTTCCTGCTCCCAGCCAGCTTTTGATTTATTAACCACAACCTTCAGCTTCTCATTCGAATCTCTTTTGTACCACGGCTTGCTTCACCCTCATTTCTCCTCTGTTGGATAACTGCGCTCACATACTGTCTGTTCTCTCTACAGTGCATATTATATCCCTCAAGCCACCCTTTATCCTGCAGTCAGAGCCATCACTCGGAGCCAATGCCCTGCTTGAAATTCTTCAATGATTCTCCCAAACCTTCGCTTCTTTTTTTTCCTTTTTTCTTTTTCTTTCTTTCTTTTTTTATACCAGGGATTGAACTCAGGGGGACTCAACCATTGAACTACATCCTAAGCCCTATTTTGTATTTTATTTAGAGACAGGGTCTTCCTGAGTTGCTTAGGGCCTCACTTAGTTGCTGAGGCTGGCTTTGAACTTGCAATCCTCCTGCCTCAGCCTCCCAGCAAACCTTCATTTAAGTCCACACACCATCCTTCATTACCTGGCCCCCTGCTGATCAACCCAGCCTTGTCTTTCAAGGCTCCTCCTCTTGGAACCATTCGCAGTTGGGTGAATGAGCCATATGATCTGCTCCACGTCGCTGCTTTCCTGCTCTCCCCGGAGAGCTCCGCCTCACACTTTCCCGCCTCTCATTCCTTCCTGCCCTTTTAGACTGAGCTCAGGTATTAATGATCTCCTTGGAGAAGTATCCCTAACCGTCATCTCCCAAGGTCTGTTAGTAAGTGCTAGAGAAATGATCATGTTGTTGTTCATCCTTTGTTTATCTGTCTGCCTCCTCTGCTAGGCAGCGAGGTCCTCTGGGACAGGGAACAAACGGTATTTATCTTTTCATGGTTAGAAAAAGATAACCAGCTCTCAGCACAAAGACCAACATATAGTAGGTGGTCAACAGATGTTTGGTGAAAACTCAATAGTGGTATAATTTTTATGAAATTGCTGTGTCTCACCCTGATAAGGCTGATTTTTTTTTCAATTTTGATTATTGGTGCATTATAATTATATATGATGGTAGAATTTGTTGTTGCATAGCCATACATATAACGCCATATAACAACATAATTTGGCCAACATCATTCCCCAGTATTTCCCCTTTTCCTCCCTCCTCCCTCTCCTTGGTCCCTTTCCTCTACTGATGGCCCTTCTATTTTCTTGAGATCCTCTCCCACATTTCTTTTCCTTTTTCCTCTCTAGCTTCCACATGAGAGAAAACATACAACTCTTGACATTCTGAGTTGGCTTACTTCCCTTAACAATGTTGTCGAGTTCCATCCATTTTCCTCAAATGACATAATTTCATTCTTCTTTATGGCTGAATAAAACTCCATTATATAGGTATACCACATTTTCTTTATCCATTCATCCATTGATGGACACTAGCTGGTTCCACAGTTTGGCTACTGTGAACCGTGATGCTATGTACATGGGTGTGCAGGTATCACTATAGTGTGCTGATTTTAATTTTTTAGGTTAAATACTGAGGAGTGGTCCAACAAGGCTGAATTTCAACCACAGTAGGTGCTAGAAGACCCAAGGACATCATCATCGTCAACTTTCTTGACCTTCAACCATCACCGTCCCAGAGATAGGGGAGAAAACCTTCTCCCCTGCCATCCAGATCCCGTGTCCCCCTGCATGGAGAAGATACTCCCTATCCCCCAAATTTCCACATATATTCCTGAAACTCCAAATTATTCCCACCCTGACTTCTCCCCTGGACACCAGAGTCACAGACTTAACTCCCCAGTTCCTCTTGGATGCCTAATAGCATGTCCAACTTAATAAAACCGCCTAAAAATTCTCAAGTTCTTTTGTCCCTCAAGCCTGCTTTTCCTGCCATCTTCATCTCTAAAGCTGATGGGGCCTCCCAACCAGCTGCACAGTTTCCAAAACCTTTAAAGTCACCTTTGCTCCTTTCCTCACAGTCCCTACTGAGTCACTGGCACATCCTGTTGGCTCCACAGCTGAAGTTTATGCAAAGTCCTACCATGTCTCACCCCCGTCACCATGGCTACCACTCCAGCCAAGCCTCTACCTCTCTCAGGCTGATGACCATAATTCTCCTCGCCTCCACTCAGGTCACTCTCCATGCAGAAGCCCATGTCAACCTGCTCAGACTTCCCTGCGGGACTCTCCAACCATCTCTCGCTTTATTGAAACTAGAATCTCAGGTCCTTTGGTGGACTCCGAGACCCTGGGGAGTCTGCTCCCTGCTACTTCTCCCAGCTACTCCGTGGCCTCCTTCCTTCCTCTCCTCGCTCTGTCCCAGGCACAATGGCTTCCTTGCTGCTCCTGGAACAGGCGGCATCTTTTACTTGTTAGCCCTCTGCCTGGGTCCCTCTTTCCCCCAGATATCCACGTATTTCATTTCCTCGCAACACTTAGAGCTCTGCTCAAATGCTACCTTAACAAAGAGGTCCTCGCTAATCCCACTCTTAAAAATCCTCCCACCCATCACTTTACACCCCGTTGCCCTTCTGGTCTTCTTTATGTTATATATTACACTCAGCATCTCCTTGCTTATTTATGTACTGCATATCCTGCACCCCACCAACCACCACCTTCCCAGGGTGCAGGTGACTCTGTGTCGCCCCCCCCCATCCCCCTGCACTGCCCACAGGCACCTGGCAGGCAACTTGGTTCCTGGCCACTTACCATTCGGGAGCTGTAGACAGGTGACTTGATGGGTGTGGCCACAGGGCAGTTGATTCGCTTCTCCTTCTGGCGTCGGTTGCAGAACCAGACCCTCACCACCTCCTTCTCCATGGACAGCTGCTCTGCAATCATGGAGATCTCTTCTGAACTGGGTTTAGGGTTCTACAGGGATGAAGGGACAGAATGTGATCAGCAGAAGGGAACAGAATCAAGAATCAGGGATGAGGGATAGATGTTCTAAAGAAGCAGGATTGAACAATATATGGATCAGAAGCTTTAGAGTCAGTTCTAGGATGGGAATCCTCTTAATCACTACATACTGTGTGTCTTTGGGAAACTTTATTACCCTACCTGAGCTTCAGTCTTATCTATGAAATAAGAACAATAATGCCCATCATGGAGGGTTATGGTGAGGATTAAACGAGAAAATGTATATAAATTGCCAAGCAAAGAACTGACAGAGTAGAGGCTCCATAACAGCAGGTCTCGGCTCTCGCTCCTTCCCTCGGGAGCAGCTCTGAGGACAGAGGTCCAGTGTGAGCTACGTGGGGTGGGGAGCAGAATCCCCAGAACCCATGCTTTCTCAGAACCTGATATCCTTCCTCTTGTCATCTCTTACAAGGAGAGGAGGAAGCTAAAACTCGTGCCCTTGTCACATCTTCAGGGTAGCTGTGCAAGAATATGAGGTCATCATGCTCGTTCAGGCCCCGCCACCCAGGTCTGTTTTTATGTTTTGGTGCTGGGAATTGAACCCAGACCCAGAGGCACTCAACCACTGAACCACATTCCCAGCCCTATATATATATATATGTGTGTGTATGTGTGTATATATATATATATATATATATATATATATATATATATATATTATTTAGAGACAGGGTCTTGTTAAGTTGTTTAGGGCCTCATTAAGTTGCTGAGACTGGCTTTGAACTTGTAATCCTCCTGTCTCAGCCTCCCAAGCAGCAGGGATTACAGGCTTGTGCCATCAACCCAGCTCCAGTCTGTGGTTGAGCCCCTCTCTCCACACTTCTGCAACCACCCCATACTGTCCTGTTCTGAGAAGGGAATGCCAGCTTTGGGAATCCTGCCAGCAGGATGCAGCCATCAAGTCCCTGAGCCAAATGCACTGGGGGATCTGCTAGCGGGGTGGCAATCTCAGGCTCAGGCCTATAAGGTTGGGTGAGAGCCTGGGCCTCAGAAGCGGGTAGTACCAAGCATGGCTCTGGAGGCTGGAATCTGAGAGATCCTGGCTGGAAGCTCTTGGGCTTCTGTTCCCTGGCTCCCGGTGGGGTCCATAGCTTCCACATGCTTTTGTCACAAAAGTTCATAAACACATATAATATGATAACAAGTGCACAATATGGTCACAAGCACTTAAATGTGCACAGGAAAAGGGAATAGAAGAACATATATTCAGAGAGCACTGGAGGGTACATTTTTTTCTATTTCTTTCCCTGTATTTTCCAAATTGTTTAGGATGAAACTTTATTATCTTTCTAATTTGAAAAATGCAAAATTTATCTTTAAAAAGATGGAGTTTATATAGGACACCCTGATTTTTTACCTTTACCCTGATTGGACACAATCTCCTGGGACTCTATATTCCTCCTAGTGAGAGGGACAATGGATTCCAAATAAATGTCAGAACACAAAGGTTCAGTGGTGGGGAGATGTTTCTGGAACCCTAGGTGAAGGGCAGCCTTCCACTCAAATCCCAGGGCACTTGGAGACAGAAGGTGATGTGACAGGTGTGCTGGGAAAGAGCTGGTGCCCAGGGCCCAGCCTCCCAGCCCTGTGGTGCCTCCTCGTCCACCTGAGTGGCCGGCCCACCCACTCTCACAGAGGGGGCTGCTCACATCTTGAAATCTCTTCTCCAGAGTCAGGCGGATGTTGGTCTCGATGCTGGTCCGTTTCTTCCTCTTCCTGCCAAACACTTCGCTGAGGGTGGGGTAGGAGTTAGGTGCGCTCACCGAGGGGTCTGATGGAGAGGACTCTGAGGGAGGCACAGGAGCAAAAGAAGCTCAGAGAAGGGGATGCACAGGGGGTCAGGCCCTGCCACGGTGGACTCGAGGTCCAACAGCCCTTCCCAGTGGGTTCTGCAGTAGCTCTTTCAGAACGGGCCCCCTCCCGCAACAGGGGACCCAGAACAGACCAAGATCCTGCTTCTTCTCGTTGCTCTGGGCAAAGGTCCTCCTGCCTCTCACCACAGTCTCCAGTGTTTGCGGTCATGGTTCAGGGAAGTCCGGACATGAGCGGCATGTGTGGGTGTGAGTGGGCACGGGCAGAGATCCAAGTAACATTGGCGACTTTGTTTCTTAGAGATATGTCTGGATGTGAACACCAAGTAAAATGGCATTCTGAGCCAAAGACACTGGTACTTGGTGGCAGAATGTTTGTATTGAAGCCATTTGTTGGTCAGCAAGAGTGCTGATGCTAAGGCTGTAACTGGACAGGAGGGTTATGCCTTAGGAAGGACTGAAGCATCAGTCGGGGTCACTCTGAGATGATCCACAGGCCCTTTCTCAAAGATTCTCGGGCCCTCTAGTCGTTTCTTTTCTTCTTCTCTCTCTCTCTCTCTTCTCTTTCTCTCTCTTTCTTTCTTTCTCTCTCTTTTATTTATTTATTCATTTAGGTACTGGGGCTTGAACTCGGGTTCACTCTACCACTGAGCTATATCCCCACCCCTTTTTATTTTGAGCCAGGGTCTTGCTAAGTTTAGGCTGGCCTTGAACTTATGATCCTCCTGCTTCAGCCTCCCAATTAGCTGGGATTACAGGTGTGTGACCCTACACCCAGCACCTCTGATCATTTCTTCTACTTCAGTGCTTCAGTAGAAGTTGTCTCAGAGCTGGCCTGATGGGGGAGGACTTCCTTGCTCCCTCCCAAGCTTCTGCATAGAGGGACTTCAATGAGGGTCACATACCCACTCTGGCTGTCCACCCTTCCCTGCCTGCCCTCTTCACCTAGACCAGGGGTTCTCAAATAGGGGCCACTGCACCACCACTCCCCAGGGGACACTTGGCAGTGCTGGAGACATTTTGAGGTGTCTCAATCCAGGGCAGGTGGCTGTTAACTATTCTGCAGTGTATAGGCCAGTCCCCACAACAAAGAATTGTCTGGCCACAAATGTCTATATTGCCGGATTGAGAAACCCTGTCCTATGCTCACCCTGACACCAAACTCTTCTGGCATTGTCCCAAACACCTGGCCCCTTGGCTTACATCCTTGACCTCTCAGAAAGACTGATCCTCACGGATCCTCCTGCATACTTGGCCAGTCTAGATGGAAATTGCTGCCTGTCCCTTAAAACCTACTCCAGAAGTGTCTAAGGAAGACCTTGTGCTCTGCTGTGGTCTCCCCATCCCAGTGAGTCCCTTGAAGCCCGATTGTCCTATCTCTCTAGACCTACTCTAGAGAGCAATCTGGGTAAGTGTATCTGCCCTGCAGACCCAGATTTACCTCCAGGGAACTGTCCTAAGGTCTAAGCTGGGTGGCTCTGGGATAGGAAGTGGAATAACCTGGGAGCACATCTTCATGGCTACAGACCTAAAGTCATGTCCCACAAAGGGCTTTCTCAGTAATAAAGCTGATCCTGTCATCTCTACTTGCCTATCTCCTGTGTCTTATTTCTCAATTCATTCTAGAATCAGGAGGAGGAGAAAGGGGTGCTATTTCTGCAATCTCTAAAGCCCCGCACATACACACATCACTGGAATGATTCCTAAGGCCCCGTCTAGGTTCCCCTCCACGTCCCCTCTTCCAGACCTACCCGCATCATTCAGCCACTTCTCTAGTAACGGCTTGAGCTTGCACATGTTCTTGAAGCTCAGGTTGAGGGCCTCGAACCGTGAGATGGTGGTCTGGCTGAAGTCGTTGCCATATAGCTTTCCCATCGCCAAGCCTACATCGCCCTGCACAGGGGACCGAGAAGGAGGGGTGTGATGGACAGGCTCCTGTTGCCTGTATCCCCACCACACTGGCCCCATCACACATCCAGCAACACCATAAGTACCCACCCATGACTTCAGCTCCTTTCTAAATCTTTTCCCACTGCCTGGTAGAGGAACATATGTCCTTAGACTCGGAATAGACTGTGTCCTTTCCGGGCCTTCCTTCCTCTCCTCCCCCACCAACAATGTCCTCCGTT